TGGGCATCATAAACAGAAGAATAATCTGGATGAAAATGTATTCAAAATGGATCACAGAGCCCAGTGTAAAATGTCACACTATAAAATTTTTAGGAGATACTTTTGGTAAAATTCTAGGTGATCTTAGATTTAGCAATGGGTTTTTAGATATAACACAAACACTAGCAAAGAAAAGACTGGCAAATTGGACTTCATGAACCTTGAAAATTTCTGCTCTTTTAAAAGAATGAAAGATTAGCCCTATATATACACTGGCCGGACATCTTTATAAGACAGACATGTGCTAAAGGACCTTATCTAAAATATACAGATCACTCCTTAAACTCAACCATAAAGAAAGCAAACACACTAAAGTACACTTTTTAAATGGACAAAAGGTGCAGACATTTCTTAAAAATACATAGTGGCAAATAAGCATATGAGCATCCTACATCATTAGAGGATTGCACATGAAAACCATAGCAAGATCCCACTGTGTGTGGATTAGAATTCCTAAAATCCAAGACAGCACAACATCAAATGTTGGTGAGCATGTGGAGTGCCACGAACTCCCCGTCCTTGCTGGTGTGATGCAAAATGGTGCGGTTACTTTGGAAAACAGTTGTTAGTCTAACAACAGCAAACAGTGTTATCTTGTGACCCAGCAATCACACTTGTGTCAGGCAGTCTTCTGTCACTGTAACACAATACCTGAGATAACCACCTTGTGAAGAGAAAAAGTGTGTTTTCACTCACAGTTTTAGAGGTTCAGTGCAAGAGCAGCTGGCCCCATTGCCTTGGGCCCGTGCTGAGACAGACATCACAGTAAAAATGGAGAATGGAGCAGGATCACCAGCCTCATGGCCAGGAAGCAAAAGAGGAAGGGAACAGGGTGCCACAGTCCCTCCAGGGGCATGCCTCCAGTACCTGAGTCCACTAGAGCCCACCTCCTAGAAGGCCCCACCCTTTTCCAATGGCCTCAAGCTAGGAGCCAAGCCTTCCACACATGGGGGCCCGAGGGACACTCATCCAAGCCATCATACAGTGCAACTAATTTCCATAAGGATACTTTTAAAATCACCCAAGATCACAGCAGGTAATTTGTGTGGCTACAGTGTCAATTTATTTATCTACAATGAGGAATAGTTACTAAATTGGATGGAACAGTGACTCATGTTGTAGTAGTCAGAGTTTGCAAAGGAACAGATTTAATACAGAACACATAATTTATAGGATTGTTGTATAATACACCAAAAATTAAATGCAGAGGAATAGATCTGTCCACATGTTAGAGACCTGAAGAATCCAGCCAAGGGTGTAGATCCCATGGCAGTGTCCTGCACAAGTCCAGCCAAAGGCCTAGAGCCCACAGCAATGTCTCCTGCAAGTCCACATGGAGAATCTGCACTGGGGAGGCTCAAGGCCAGGGGTGAAGCTAGAAAATCTATGCGGGCCAGGTGCGGGGGATCTGTGCCACCAGGCTGGGGAGCTGCACTGGAGCCAGGAACCACACTCAAGGGAAGACCAGAGCTCCCCTGATGAGAACAGCAGCCATTCTGGGCCACGCTGAGGGCCCGGGCTCCTCTGATGATGAGAACAGCCAGGTTCATGTCAGAAAAACCAGCTGCAGCAAGCTTCTCCAGGAAAACCAACAGCCAGCAATCTTCCCCTCCAGTTCTCTTTTTATGCCTTCGACAACAATCCCCAGGTGGGTCTTCCACACCCAGAACCATGCTGACTCTGCTCAGCTGGGAGTGCCAAGTTGACCTCTGGTTAATCCACCACAACTCATGAAGTAAAACTCAGGCCCATTCTTCCTCTATTCAGAAAATCTGGAAATTCAAATTAAAAGGAAAGGAGGAAGGGAAAGGCAGAGGAGGGATGAGACCAAGAAGGGGATACATGTTCATCTTTACAGACCCCTGGGATAAGGACAAGGACCCAAGAGAGCCACCCTAGAAAGTGGCTGTGAACCAGGGGCAAAAGTTTTCCTGATTTAAGGTTTTTCTACCCTGAGGTCTACAGACCCTGAAGGTCAGAGAAACCAGGAATGTAATAATGAGACTGTGTCTTTGTCTGGAAAGTGTCTGTAGTGCCCTCACCTGTACTCTGCTTGTTCTCAGTCACGTACACAACCAAATCCCTTACTCACTGGTCCATCCCATAATGTAATCCATGGAAACAGAGCTGGGGAGCAACAGCATTCCAAAACAGCACAGGAAGAGACCAGAAGTCATTTCTGGAAACTTTTCTGCATGTAAGAAGGAAATTTCAAGCTGCTCACATAATGCTTCTGTCCATAGAATGTGGTTGGTTTGTGGCTGTGAACACTGAGACATCAGCTGGAACTATAGGACTCACTGCCCCACCTGCATGTGGATCTTGGTTCACCTGTTCTTACTTTTAATTCCTTCTAAGAAAGAAAACTTTGGAGGAGACAGTTCTGATGTGAAATCAAGTTATTTTTAGGAATTAATTTCAGATTTTTAAAAATCTGGGACATTTCATGAAAACTGTAGTGTTTTAATCTCTAAAAGAGCTTTGGGAAGCCACTCTTTTCTGAGATATGCATATGTGTCAAAAAAAGAAATTAACCATTTTGTACCCAAAGACACTTGGATTACATGTGATGTGTCAACTTGATGGGGTACAAGCCTCCTAGCACATCAGTAAATTACAGTTTGGGATGTCTGTAGGTGATTGACATGTTGGCCAGCAAACAGGGAAGAAGACCTACCCTGGATGTGGGCAGCACCAACCAATAGGCTGATAGCCTAGACAGCGTAAAAAGGGAAAGAAGAAGGAAGCGTTCGAACTTTGAAAGGGCTGCAGCCTTCACCATCACCTCTGGGCATCGGCCTCCCATTTCTTCATCCTTCCAGCATAGTCTCTCAGACAAGCTTCTAGGCTTTGACCTTGGGCTGGTGCTGCATCCACCATCCCTCTTGTTCTGTGGCTTCCAGCTGAGAAGCTATGGACTCTGCCTCTCCAGCACACAGAATGTCATTGTGGACTCTTTCACCTCTGATCCTGTAACCGAGCCTAACAAATCCCCCTGTATAATTGCACATATATTTTCTATTGATTCGGTTCCTCTAGAGAACCCTAACTCATACAGATAAACTTGGACACAACCCCAGCTATGTGTGAGCTCTTTTGTATGGCTCAGAGAGGTGAGGGGTCAGTTTGCTTGTGTGCACAGTCTCTGCTGTCTCTTTGCACACTCACCTGCACAGCAGCCTCTCTTGCACACTTGAGCATGTGCCGAGCATAGATCATTAAGGCTCGGCAGGATTTACTCCTAACTGTATTTTGTGTTCACTCCTTGAAATCCAGTGTGACAAAGATATGTGCCTTGCATTTGAATTTGTGTGACTCACTCTGTGCTCTATTAGAATCAGGACTGCACATCCTGCTTTTAAAAGACAGAGGGGTCTGATATTCTTCCTCTAATATAGCCAGGGGATTGGGTTTTAGATGCTATTCATCAAAAGTTGGCCAAGCCCTCTACTAGTTCCATGCTGCTATGTGACACATGATCATGAACTTAGTAGCTCAAGACAACATGCAGTTATAGCCTCGTGGTGTCTGTGGTCAGGAACCTGGGGTTGGCTTGGCTGCACCCCGAGTTTGAGTCCCACACAGGTGTGCAGTCAGGTGCCAATTGGCTGGAGGGGAGGCCCTAAAAGCAAGCATGATCTCAGCAGGAATCAACTCTGGGAAGTTGCCTAGAATGAGATCCTTTTGTTGCTGGCTGTTGACTAGAAGCTGCTCTGAGATCCTGGCCACACGTGTCTCTCCACATGGCTTCCTCAAAGCCAGCAAGGAAGAGTTTAAATAGAATAAAACCTTACCAAGGCGAGTGAATACAGTCTCTTGTTCCCTGCCCCCACCCAGATGACATGCTGTCATTTTAGCTGTATTCTACTGGACAGAAGTGAGTCTTTCGGCCCACCCATATCCAGGAGGAAGATATTGTATGAAGGTGTGAATGTCAGAGGTGGCATCATCTTGGGCCATCATGGAGTCTGCCCACCACCACCAAAATTATATCTATCCCTTCACAAAGAACTTGCAAGTTTCCAAATTCTTAATACTTCCATGGACTGGGATGGCTCTTTCCAGGGTCAGGATGTAAAAATAGCCCAGAGGGTTGTGGCAGCCCTGAGCCCTCCTGCTTGCTGTAGGGGGCACAACAGACCCGAAGTGCCAGATGCCACTTCCTGCATCCAGCCCCATACCCTCTCAGAGGCCATGCTCCTGTACCTGAGCACTGCGAGGCACAGATGCAGGGCCGTCTCAGCCAGATCTGCAACACGCATAACAGGTCACTCACTGCCAGTGTCCAGAGTTCTAGAAGAAGTGGCTCCTGGCTTTGGTCTTTGTTGACCACAGCAAGTAGGGCCCAGGGAACATGAGGGTTTCTAGATGCAACCTCCTCTCCAGGAATGACCTGCACATTTTCCTGGTTGGTTACATGGCCAAGGGCTAGTGCTTTCCCACAGCAGGGCAATGCAGGAAAGCATCCAACTAATTCTTGGTCTCTGTGGCAGTGCCCAGCAGAGCAGCTCCCTCTCTCCATGGTAACCTTAGCTTCTCCTCCTCAGGTACAATCTCTGCAAGTCAGGCTCACTAACCTGCCTCCTGTCCTGCAGTAGAGAGGGACTCGGCCTAAGGGACAAATCCACAGCCCCGCTCCTGCACAAAGTGTTCCCCCACAAGGCTGACTTTATTTGTAGTCCCACTTGTGCAGACTGGATAAACTGGTGCAGTGGCATTTATTGGCTTTGGGCTAGCAGATTTGCAGGCTTGGCAATGAGCTCATTCTCTGACTCACACTTAACTCAGATGCATGCTAGAGGAGCATGGGCTTGCTTGCTTGCTTTTTCTCTTTCCTTCTTTCTTTCTTTCTTTCTTTCTTTCTTTCTTTCTTTCTTTCTTTCTTTCTTTCTTTCTTTCTTTCTTCCTTCCTTCCTTCCTTCCTTCCTTCCTTCCTTCCTTCCTTCCCTCTTTCTTTATCCATCTGTGCAAGCTCCTTCAGTGCTTGCAGCCCACAGCAGCAAGGCTGGGCAATGGTTCAAGGCTGTACTTTGCTCTCTCACGGTACACTCTGAAAGGCCCACGCAGAAAGGGGCACCATAAATCCATCACCGTGCTCTGGGGCCCATGTTCCCCACGCTGCCTGTCCCCGAACTCCAGAGAGATGCTCCCTGGGGCAGGGCGGAGGTTCCAGGACTGCACACCGCAGTCCCAAACCGCAGCTCTCCACTCTCACCCAAACCAGGGCTTCAGAACCAAGCGTCTAAGATGCCTAACTGGGACCCTTTTCATAATTTTTCCAGCCCAGCCCAGAATGGAAATCAATAAGAATTTATAATACATTCCATGTTCTGAAAAACTGGAGAAATAAATTACACTCACTCATTACAAAATGAAAGGGGAAGCAGAAACTATTCTAAGAATTCCCAATGGATTGGCTGAGGTATCAGCTCTTCTCTTTTTATTTTACTTACAAGAAATGGAAGTTAACTTACAAAACCCAAGGAGCGGTTCTGAATAAGTTTGTGCATTAATCCAAGAAATATTTACTGCTGCTTATTATCCATGAGGTTCTGTTCTAGATGCTGGGAATATGGTGGTAGGAATAGGAAAAAAAGATAAACCAATAGAATGCATAGCACCCCAGAAGCGCAGGAACAAAAAGGTTGTGGAGACTGGATTATAAAACTAAAGTTATATTTGGGGCCTCTGAAAGGAATTGTGCATATACATTAATGTTTCCTTTAGATTGGCAGCAATTGCAGTTTTGATAGTGCAAGAGATTCTAAGACATTACACACAGCAGGAAGAATCTATGGCTTATGCCTCTTTCCCGTTAAATTTTCTACGCAGAACCAGCCTCACCCGGGCGTCTTGTACTTCCGGGCCTCCCGTCCTTGTGGCCCTGGCAGAGCTGGCCCTACTCCCAACTTGCTCTCCTTGGCCAGCTCTATGATACAGGCTGAGCAGGGCTGGGGTCAGGAGCAGGTAGCTGAGGTGGCCGTGGCTTCATGTGCAGTCGTGGCTGTCCTAAAAGTCCCGGCCATTTCATTTTCTCTCTCGATTTGTCTTGCGAGCGAGGCCCAATGGGACAATGAGCGTGTGCCAGGGGCCCTGCGCCTGCACTGTCTGGCGTCCAGGCCTCCTGCCACCTCCCACAGCCCCCAACATGAGTCTCCGCCCAGGGCTGCTGGAAGGTGCCCAGGCCCAGCCTGGGAAGGGGTGGGCGGGGGCGCCCTGCCCTGCCCTCAGTCAGTGTCTACACTTACATCATGGGCGTCCCTGCCTCTGAGAGGTGACACTGAGCAGCAGAGAAACTCCGAGGCAGCTGGAGAAGGGGACACAGAAAGCAGGGTTCTTGTCTCTCCCTCGTTTTCCATTGGTCCACGTTTACAGTACTTATGGATGCCATTCCTCCTGGGGAGTTGCTAAAATGACATCACACATCTTAATTCCTTCTCCTCCCCCTTCGTCTCTCCTCCCATCCCTTCCCTCCATCTCTAGCTCCCCTTCCCATTTGCAAATGATCTATCTCCCCATTTCCTATTATCTGTCTTGTATTTGGCTATTTATAGTTTGGATTTCTCATATGAAAGAAACCATTTGATATTAAGCTTTTTGTCTGATTTATTTCAGTTATGATTATGCACCCATTTTTCTACACACGAGTCAAGTTAATTCTTCATTGTAGCAGAATATTGCTCCAATGTGTGTAAACACCACATTTTCTTCATTCATTCATCTACTGACGGATGTATAGGCTGCTGCAAGATTTAGCTATTATGAGTTGTGCTGCTATAAACATGGCTGTGCACAGACCACTATAATATATCATCTTTAACTCTCTTTTGTTTGTTTTTTGAGACAAGATCTCAGTATGTAATTCAGACTGGCCTTGAACTCACTACGTTGCACAGGCTGGTCTGGAACTCATGATGATCCTCCTACCTCAGCATCCCAAATTCAGGGATTACAGGGTTGCAATACCACACCTGACAGATGCCTTTAACTCTTTCAGGAAGATACCTAGAAAGGGGAATAGCTGTTTCACCTGGAATTTGCAGTTTTAATGTTTTGTGGAATCTCCACACTGAGTTCCAAAGTGGTTGTATGAGGACGGAATATAGGACCTTTGCACGGAGCTGAATCTCCACCCTTTTTGTATTTTTTAATTTTAAGAATGGTCTAAATTGCCCAGGCTGGTCTCAGATTTGTGATTGTCCTGCCTCAGTCTGTCAGAGTGCTGGGATTACAGACATTCACCACCACACCTGCCTTTTAGAGCAAGAGGCTCTGGATTTTCATTTGGCTTCAATCTATACAAATTCTGATGCCAGCCCAGGCCGTAAGCACTGAAGACTCTCTATCGTGGCCTCCATCACAGTTTAGAGGTGCCTGGGTGACAAAGCACAGAAACCTGTGATCACAACTCCTAGAGAGCTGGAAACATTTATGTCTTATGCAAGGCTGATTTGCCAGTATAGGACAAAGCAGGTGCTTGAAAACATTTGACAGAGTTCAGTAACAAGCAGGTGCGCCAAGTGTCTGGGTGACTGCCAACCGTGCCATCCAAGTGCTTGTATCATTTTTCATATTTGATCCATTCACAAGAATGAGTGTTATCTTCCAGTGTGATGAAAAGTTGCATAAAGTTCTTCTACTGCTTATTGTACTTTCTGTATGACACATATGGGGTTAGGCACTTAAGCTTTTGGATTGCACCTTCTATTAACAAAAAGTGCCTTTTTATCCTTTCAATGACTTTTCCCTTAAATTCAAAATGGAATGTATCAAAATAGAATACATTTAGCACACGTATTTGTGTCTAGTTACTTCTCTCTCCTTGCTGAAATAAATACCGCACACCCAAAGTCAAAGGGGAAAGGTTGATTTAGCTCACAGTATACAGAGCTTTCAGTCCATCATTGGCTGGCTCCAAGGCAGGGCCGACAAACAGGAATCAAAGAGCAGAAACAACATGGCACATGCAAAGCAGCAAAGGTAACAAGGGATCTTAACAGTGCCTTTTTGCCCCTTTGCTCTCACCAAGACTACAGGGATTAGGGCGGTGCTTAAACCACTCACTCAGGTGCAGTGGTTTAGTAATCACAGATCCTTAGTCCCAGCATCACAGATTCCAGATTCGGTCACCTCTGAAAAAGACTGCATGAGGCTCAGGGGACATCTAGACACAAACCACAACAATGCTCGCATATGTAGTTGACTCATCCACCTTTTTCCATCCTTTGTGGGCAACTTCTTTGGGTCCTAGATGGGACTCTTATAAAAGTCTAGTCCAGGGATGGTGAACTTTTTAGAAATCGAGTGCTCACACTGCAAGCCCAGAACCACTTATTTATTGCAAAGTCCCCACAATGCAACGAAACCTGAACATTGAGGTTTGCGATAGGTTCACCACCACTGCCCTGGGAGTTTCCTTGCTTACTCCGCCTATCGGCAGAATGTTGTCCCATACTCTTGCTAAGACGAAGTCCCCATCCTCTTGCTAGCTTTCAACTGGGGCCCCTCTGGCCACTTGAGGCCTCCCTGGGCCCTTGCTACATCTCAGCATCAAGATTTCCAATCTCGCTCCTGCTACCATTTTTCTGACCTCTTCTCCCACTTTGAAGGGCTCATGTGATGAGTTTAAACTACCAGGATAATCCAGGATAATGTGCCCCTGTGGAAGCCTCTACCTTAATCAGATCTGCAAAGTCCTTTATACCGTGCCAGGTCTCCCAGGAGACCACAGAGTGGACACTGGGGTCATTGTTCTGACTTCCGCACACCAAATCCAAGTCCTTTTCAAACTGCGCTCCAGGCAGTCACTGCAAATTGAGGGTTGCCAGCACTGGGAATGGACCCTACAGGGCACAGTTGGGGATGTCAGATGGATGTGTTCCTCTCCACAGGGTGGTAATCTCTAGACTATGAGAGGACTGACACTGCCAGGAAGATAGTTGTTAGCTGGCCCTGGTGGCGGCTGCATAGTGCCCTCTGAGCTCCATCAGAGTCTCTGGGATCGTTGTCACCCTTGCAGGGAGCCTCCGATTCCCACAGTGCCAGCTGCAGCTTCTGAGCTCTGCTGACACCGCTTGACTTCAAGCCACCCAGGGACTCACAAACCACAGCTACCTGCCATCAAAATAACCCTCCCGCTCCAAGAAATAATAAGCAAAAGCAGTTGTAAACAAAACAGCTGCTTGAGCAACTGTGGCTTTCCTTTTAACCCACTCACTTATTTTGTCTACTTCCAGCCTAGGAAGAGCCTTGGAAAATAAAGAATGCTGGTTACATAATGGATGTTTTGTTCTGGGGATGACTTCATGACTAAGGGTGAGTGACACCTCCGTGGGTCTTGGATGGGCAAGGATGTCATTAGGAAGCCAGTTGATGTGGGCTGACATGTCCCCCTCTCACTGGAACACTAGTGCATGCAATACATTTTATCCTTGGCATTGAAGCCAGATTCCAAGTTAACTGTTTCCTTTCCTTCACACGGGCACTTTCCCTGTCCAGGGAGACATGATTTCCAGCAGGGATTTGTGGTGATCTTTCCAGGGGATTTTTATGGCATTATTCACCTGGATGGAGGTTTATGGTGAACAAAAGAAAACCTGTGCATGGGTTTCAGTGAATGAGAAGTTCTCTGACAGGAACAGGGAAAGCCCACAAATTTGTGCTCCATGCTTTTCTCCTCCACACTTCTCTAGAGGGGATCCTGTTGGACTTTTTATTCTGTTTCCCTGGTGCTTTCCCATCTTTGTAAATGCTACGCGTGGAGCACTTGCTTCAGATCTGTGAAACTTACATTTGCTGCCGCCCTATGAGGCTGTACCTCATTACACCATCAGCCCCCACCCAACAGTTGGCTTTGTCACCTTCATCACCATGTCCCCCACCGGCTTCTCTGCTCCTAATTCTGCCCCGAATGTTGGCTCAGCATCTGCTGCCCACAGGCCCAAACTGCACAGTCCTCCCTGCGGTGTCTGAGATAGTGGGCAGAGCTTTGGAGAGGCTGGTTCATATCCTGCAAGTCTCCATTCTCTTCAAATAGTGAATTTAACAAAATAACCATAGAAATATCAACAAGTAGTTTTTAAAGTGAAAAATAATA